GCACCTCCCAGCAGCCTGGGAGAGCTGGTGCCTCAAGGCCCTCAGAGGATTTTATTACTCATGTCATAGTGGCTGTTCCACTGTAGAGTCTACAGGACCTCAGTACTTTTCCTCTTTGACTTCAAAAGGAAGCATTTTTTTTGCCAAACCTTTAGAGACACTTTTTAAAAGCAAGCCATTTTCTCAAATATATCAAAGAATAGAAAAAGTAGAAAGACTAAGAAAAAGTTGAGAGCAAGAGCTAGGTTGAAGACTTCAAGGTTCCCCTTGGAAATGAGATGAAGTGCGGTGTTTAGAAATCTGAAGTGGGGACTGGTTGAGGTCCTTAACCAGTAGACATAGTTTTGTGAACCAGCAGATTGCTAGCTATGGTCCATGTCATTTGGAAGAGAAGAAAAAAGCATGACCAGAACCCCAAATGGTATTTCTGGTGGCGCAGCTTCAAAGGCAGAGCAGAGTGTAGCCACGTTTTAGGAATGCCTGCCCATTTTCCAAGCCTGGTTCTCCAGGCTCCTTGTCAAGTCTGTGCTTTTCTCAACATCTTTTCGATCAACCCTTTCCTCTATGTGTTAGCGTCAGTTTCTGCTTCTTGCAAAGAAGACCCTGAACTAATATAAATATCCAAAGGGTGCCCTTTACTTCCAAATGTATTTTTTTCTGTTTGGTAGTCTTGGGGCTCAAAAATATACACTGCCATACAACTAAGAAAGAATCAATTTAGGGAAGATGGTCATATGTCCTTCCATGTGGCTATTAATAAATTAGCCAGTAAGAAAAAACAGATGACTCCTTGTTCTCACCCTAGTCCTTATTTCAAGACCATAAATTTTCGTTAAGAGATGTTTCAACACAAAACCAGATGTGTTAATCCCCTGAAAAATTTGTTTTTTAAAGAAAAAAGAATTCAAGGAGCACAACTGTTGACTATGAATGATTTAGTCTTTATCTACTCAATATACTCATATTTTCAGGCATGTCACAAACCATGCACAGTATAAGTTTACTATCTCTGTATTCATATAATTAAGACTCATTTATCATCATATACATTGAGGCAATGTATGTGTTTGCTCAGTGTCATCAGGCTTAGACCCCAATCCCACTGCCACCATAAGCAAAGCTTTGGGTTAACATTCTTGCCACCATCACATACCATTAAACTAAAGGTGCTCCCTGTCTTCCTAAAACATGCACTTCAGCTATTACAAGATTTGTAGCAAGATTTTTTAGGGAAAAAAATATTAGATTGGGATTCTAAATGTTCATCAAAACATGAGAAAATGATGTAATCATACATAAAAATCTTTCAACAGCTAAATAATAACTTTCTTTAATTTACATCTGAACTAATTAATTAGTGGTGGTCAAATTAGACAGAACAGATTTGTTGGCTCAAGAGGTAGAGGGGGAAAAATCCTGCTACATAAACTACTTAAGATACATGGCCTTTTAAATGTCTTTCTAGCATCTGGTGCCATATTGTGTTAGTACGCTTGGCTATGCTCTAACAGTGATCAAAGCCCAAAGGGTCTGGCTACTCTAAAGCATATTACTTTATTTGCAAAAAATAGATGTTGAACTCCCCTATTCCACCCCTCATTCCTGCCAATAAAAACAAAGATAATCCTTTCATCCTTCTTAGGGAGATGAATGGGATCCCAACTTACTAAAAAAGATAAAAAGCTTTAAAAACAATCTTCTTGAAGGCAAAGACTCTTCTCTGGTTCTCCCCTCCCTGGTATCCTGGTATGGTACTCTCTCTGCCATGGGTGGCTCAAAAGGAATTATTCACTGATCAAAACCCTATGTCCACAGGCATGGCAGAATATAATAATGAATATTATTATAAAACCAGAAGACTCCAATGACATTTTGGCTAAAGAGGTTAAAGAATTCACTTTACTATGATGTGTTTTAAAAAAAAAAAATCACTCACACAAAGATGGGAGAAAAAGAGGAAAGAATTCAAGAGACTTTGAGCTGTGAGTGGCATTGCAGGTTTTAGAAAACAAGATCAACACAGAATAACACGTTTTGCACCTCGGGATTGGATAAATAGGTTGAGGCTCTTCTGACCTATCTATAACAACTAAGTTTGTCGGGGGCATATTGCCACCTTGTCTTCATTCCCATGGCTATTAGGATAATAATCCATTTTGCTTGGTCTGTCTATATGATTTGGAGACAAGAATAATGCAGGATGGCTGCAGCAGAATAAAAAATTCTAGGCAGCAGTTTCACAAGACTAAGCAAAAGGAAACTGCTGAAATAGCTGCAGAAGCTAGGGGCTGATAAGGCCCTGAAAAATAGGGTGTGGGCGAAGCTGGCGAAGAGAAACTGGGTCCAACATGGTGCTGGATTTGATCTAGGTTTCTCCTAGGACCTTATTCTGTGCTCATTCACATGTTCAATCATACACCCAGCAGCGCCATGACAGTTCCAGGAACACCCTTATTTGCGGTCAAAATGGGTAGCACCATAGTTCCAAGAAATCTCCCCCTTCTTCCAGGAATCTCCATGAACACGCCATCCCTTGGTTAAAGAAATCCATAAAGGCAGCAGTCCCAACCACCTTGTGTGACTCTCCCAAGGATGCCCACACTCCCCTTTCTTAAGTGTGTACTTTTTGCTTTGCAAGAAATCTCTGCACTTTCACTATTTTCTAACTCATAACTTGAAGTCATTCTTGTAAGGATGGCAAGCGCCTAGACACCAGCAGGGGTGGGGGTCCCACCAGCATTTGAGGACCTCCCCTAGCCCACTGCTGTCACCTTCTCTCAGAGGCAAATGCCTATGCCAAGGAGAAACAGTACCTGAAGACCTACCATCACGCCTAATTAATTACAGAAATGAGGCCAGTTTTGGTTAAAGCTCTAAAAAATTCAACGTCAAAAGCAATTTGGTTCTCATTACTATTATCCAGCTATTAGACTTAGGATTACATTTTTCTTCAATTAAGAACATACTACACCCTAAAGAGCTAAACCATATGTAAGTCTGACACCAAAGAGTTAAAACTCAATTCTGCAAGTATCCGTGGGCCTACTACGCATAAGAAAGGTACTCTATCTTACCTAGGAGAAAAAAATATTATCATTCATCTCATGAATTCCTGGCTTTTATTCTTGTTCTATACAAATACATCTTTAGGATATAATTTGACCTGCAGTATAATCAGATTCTTGTTATAATATGAGTCATTATAACAAGGGCCACTGATAAGTATATAGTAAATGTTTCCAGTGTGAAAAGTACTCAGCATGCAATATTTTCAAATATGACCTAATGATAAAGATTTGGGCGTTATGTGAGCAGCACATACTGTTTCTCTTTCATATTAAATCCATCCACCCAAACATACTTCCTTATTTATAAATGTAAAATTTATATATTTATACATGATATATAAAAACATTCACAGACAAGCATTCATACATTCTTGTCTCTAAAGTCTATTTGTCTTGGAAGCCAGATTATGAATTTAAAGATGCACTATTATTCTTCTTCATTCTCTTAGAACCTGGATATTTCTTAACTATCTCTGGGGCTCAATAGAAAGAAAGAAAAAAAAAAGATAATATTTGGTTCTCTCCACAGTTGGCATTTACAAAATGGATAATATCAAAATCTTAAAGAATGGACTAGGGGTAGGGAGGCAAAGGCAAAGGAGGCAAAAAAATAATAATAATAAAAATAAAGGAGCAAGAGAAGCGTCTGTCCTGTTCACATCTTTGAACCTTCCCAGCCTATGCAGAGGATCACAGGCCAGTGTCTAGAACATTTGGCAGCTGGGTAGTGAGTCCAATTAAAGAGGTAGGAGGCAGGGGAAATAGCTCCGAAGTCCTGTCTCATTCAGTATGTCTTTCAAGATATTCACACACAATAAGGCCACAACTTCATCACATTTCAAGGAAGTTCAGGTTCAGGAGCACCAAGTCCTGTTCCTGGCTCTATCACTTATCTAGCTATGTGACCATAGGTAAACCATGTATTTGAATTTCTCTAAAATCAAGATATTAATACTTGTCTCAAAGATGTTCTTATAGAACCAAATGATGCCATGCATGTAGCTGGTACAGCCCCAGCATATAGTAGGTTCTCAATAAATACTATCAGGGTTTCTAGTCCAGAACCTTTCAGGAAAGAGGAGAGAAAACAGTCCCTCTGTGACCTGGATTTCAATCCAGCTTGGGTCTTAATCCAAAAACATTTGGAATCAAACGGGACTGCTAGAATAATGCACAACTTGGCGAAGGGTCCTATTGTAACCTGGGGTTCCAAGTGTTCTCTAAAGACTACTTTGTAATTTCTCACCTCAAAGTAGCCTCTGATGTCAGGCATATACCAGGGGAACAAACAGGTACTATTCTTGGTCCTACAACACTGCCCACTACCCCTATGGGAAAGCAGCTACTATCTAGGTGGTGATGTTTTGATACATTGGGGCAGGATCCTCGGTGTCATATTATCTATGTGTAATTCCTCCTTTTTTGTGGTCAGACAGTCTCCGTTTTCAACCATGCTCATCTGTTGCATTATTGTTTATCTGTGACAAGACCACTTAAGTTTACACATCCCCAAAATCAGTGCCAGTATTTGCCAGGTTTTTCATAGCATCCAGCAAAAATATGACTTTAGGAAAGTAACTATGATGAAAGAATTCATAAAATTTGCATATGGTAGATGATCAAGTGTCAATATCAACCCTAATGAAAACCACATACACGTAACAAAACTGGTTTTCAAACTGGATTATTCCATGTTCTCTAAAACCAATAAAAAAAAAATTTAAAAAAAGAGTACTGCAATTATTTTTAACTTATCCTGGAAATAAAATACAAATTTAGACCAAGTTCATTACACTCCTCTCAGTGACATCTTAGAAATTAACTATTACATTCCTTAGGTCCTAGAATAAATGAAGAGGTAAATAATTCTGTTCAAAGATGCCCAAATGTAAGATGTGTGAGTATTCTTGTGAAAACTGCAGTGTAGCCTACCTCTTTAAAGTTATCAAATGCTGATAAAATGATTTCATGCCCGCCTCTGACAAGACAAACGGCTGCCAACAGTTCTAAGACAAGGGCTTTTGTTCTGCCAAAACAAGAAGAAAGAAGAAAAACACAAATCAGTGAAAATGGCATGATGAGTCAGCTGTTCCTCCCTTCCAAGATACGTGAGAATAAAACATTTGCCCTTACATTTTTAAAGAACTTTACTAAGGTACAGTTTAATCAAAGTACATTTTTAAACCTTTACTGACTTCTAAATATGTGATTTGTCTAAGATAGCAAATTTGGAAGGCACGTTTACCACAACTACAAATTACTCACTAATGAAAACTAGTTCTGAGAAGAATAATCTCTTAGACCTATCATCAGGTGACTCAGTACAATATAGGTGAAAAATGTTTACTGGTACACTAAAAACAAAGGGAATGGGAATATGCTGAAAAACAAACTATTGATTAAGTATTTTCTCTGATTTTAGAGACAGTGGTAGAACAGTTGCAAAAAAAAAAAAGTTCAAAATCAACTGAAATTCATGTTCTACATTTCAAATCTGCTCATTCAGGAATGGATCCATAAATCTCCCACGAAACTAAAAGTTTCTGTCCTTTCTTCTTCCTATGCAGGAGATGTGGAAGGAGCTGGATTACAGCTTTACTAACACAAGAATATTTTCTTTGACTCAAGAAAACAAAACTCCATCTGAAATATTTTTGGAAGGAGAACATAGAGATACACTCTAAGTTTTCAAATTCAATGTCAAGAAAGAAACAGCATTGTTTCTTCGATCATAAGACCACTTAAGTATTTCATTTTTTTTTCTGGAATAACAACTATCACCAATCTCTAAACAAAGACTGTTCTGATATTCCACAATGTCAATTGTCTTTTAAAAAATAATGTCTTCCCTGTAGTAGATGGCAGAGACACAGAAGCATGGCTACTTAGGATTCTAGTAAATGAAGGAAAGAATCGTAAAGTCGTAAAAGGTTTAATCAGGGGAAGTTTGAAAGAATAATATTCAGTAAAGCGGACTTTATAGTTTGCATTTCATTTTCCAAATGAGAAATGGCTAATTTATCATCAGATTTTTGGATTAACAGTTTTCAGATATTCTGTCTACAGAGAGGTATCGGATGAAAGGGAATTGCACATTTGAAGTACAGAATACTTCACCAGAATGGAAAGCACATTAAAATAACAAAAACTGATGAAGACTGGGTTTTAGGGCTAATGTGTGATGTGAATTTTATCTGCTGCTAGCCTTTACAGGTGGTGAATATGAACAAAATTCATATCTGCATGTACAATTTTATTTATTTATTTATTTATTTTGAGATAGTCTTGCCTTATCGCCCAGGCTGGAGTGCAGTGGCGCCATCTCGGCTAACTGCAACCTCCACCTCCCGGGTTCAAGCCATTCTCCTGCCTCAGCCTCCTGAGTAGCTGGGATTACAGACATGCGCCACCATGCCCGGCTAATTTTTTGTATTTTTAGTAGAGATGGGGTTTCACCAAGTTTTAGCCAGGCTGGTCTCAAACTTCTGACCTCAGGTGATCCGCCTGCTTCAACCTCCCAAAGTGCTGAGATTACAGGTATGAGCCACTGTGGCTGGCCACTACAATTATTTTTCTATTTTTGTTCAGTAACTAAAGCTACATATGTAAAGTTACCAAGCGAAGTGTAGACGAAGGATGGCAGTTTTAGCTAGCTTTCAGCAGTAACTGATGTAAGTAAATCTTTATCAAGATTCTCCTGGTCCCCAAGTCCTGGCAACCTGATCCTCTCCAAATTTAGCAGCAAGGATGCTGGGAATCAGGCCTCAAAAGAACAAAAGCTTGAGGAGAACGATGGAGGGCTAGAATTGTCACCAGTTGCTCAACTCTGGCCCATGTAAGAATGTAACTTGGCTCAAAGGAAAAATTCTACACAGCCAAAGAGTTTATAGCCAATCTTATTTCAGAGATTAACATTTGAAAGTTTCCAAAGTCAAACTTGGTTAAGTGTTGACCAGCTCTCTGTTTTCCCTAGATAGATTTAGACTTGCATACTACAAAAGAAGCTTACCTGGGATTCTTGTTGTTCAAGCTTAGTGCAATCTCATTGACAGCGTGTGGGTGAGACATGACCATGTTGAAACCATACTAAAATTAACATGGAAAAAAAAAGAAACACAAAGCATTGGGAGACAAGTTAGGGAACTGGCAGTATTGATTTAAAACCAAAAACCCAAAGTATCTACTTAATGAAACTTACACAATCATAAATGCACTTATGTCTCTAGTACATCACGGTCAAAGCATATTTCTCTATTAAAAATTTCAAGAATGCCAGATGCAATGATTTGTGCCTCTAGTCCCAGCTTGAGCCAGGACAACCAGACCCATTTCTCTCCCCCCCCCAAAAAAAAAAATTTTCGGCAATGATGCTATTATCAAAAGATCACCTTCCCATTCTTTATGAATGATCTACATGTTTCTCTTCATTAAAATGATGAAAAGGCTCTAGCCCAGTGATTCTTAACCTTGGCTGCTCCTTAAACTCACCTGGAAGACTAAACAAAACACTCCGAATTTCAATTACAGGGAGCTGGCACCTGAGTTTTTTAAGCTTCCAGGGAGACTCCACAGTATACAATAGATATAACATACAAAATGTGTGTTAACAGACTATTTATGCTATCAGTGAGGCCTCCAGTTACATACAGATTTTTGACTACACCAGGGATCAGTGCCCTTCAGACCCCACAAAGTTCAAGGGTCAACTATCTTCTCTCTCCTCAAAACTTACTCTCAGCGCATGATCTTATTTCCTCTTATACTTAGAAAATACAAGCAATCAGAAAAAACATCTAGAAGCTCCTATACCACATCAATCTACCCACACAGATCTGTGGCTTACCTCCTCACCTCCTATTAAACAGGAACTCTTCTGTGCTCCAAACTAAGGCCAACCCTTCCCATGAGTCCTTCCTCCATCCCATTCCCTCTCATCTGCTCATGAACATGGTATGTTCCAGAAATTCCTCCATTCCCCCTTAGTTTTCCCTCTTGATGGACTCATTGCCATTAGCATAAAAACATGATGCAAATTCTCTTAAGCAACAATAAAAACCTCTCTTGATACCACAACCTGTGTTCAGCCACTGCCTCTCATTTCTCTGCTATCCTTTACAGCAAAACTCCTCCAGACACTCGGTATAAATCCTCACTTCCTGCTCATTCTTGAAACCACTCCAATCAAGCATTTCACCCCCACCATCCCAATGAACTGTCTGCCAAGATCACCAAAGACCTGCACTTTGCTGAAGCCAACGGCCAATCCTCACTCCCCATTTTACCAGACTTAGCAGCATCTAACAGAGTTGAATACTCCACTCCCTTCTCCTTGAAACACATCCTTCACTTGGCTCCTAACTCCTTGGCTATTTTTCAGGCTCTCTAGCCAGCTTTTCTTCATCTCTCTGACATTCAAACAGAGTCCTAGAGTTCATATTTTGGACTTCTTTACTTCTCAGTCTACCCCTACTGATCTCATTCACCCTCCTGGCTTCCTATGCCATTTATATGCTAATTACTATCTCCAGCCCAGACCACTGCCTTGAAATCCAGACTGGCATATCCAACCACCCACCTAAGATCACTATTTGAATGTCTAACGGGCATCTCAAAGTTAAAATCCCCGAAACAGAATTCCTAATGATCTCCCTCAAATCCGTCTATCCTGCAGTCTTCCCATCTTTTAGATGGCAACTCTATCTCACAGGTGCCCAAGACAAAAGCCCTGGTACCAGCCTCTACTCGCTTTCTCCCTCATACCTAATGCTATTGCCTTTAGCATCGAAATAAAACCAGAATCAGATCACCTCTCATCATCTCCACTCCTATGATCCTAGTCCATATGACCATCAAAGCTCACCTAAATGACTGCTAAGGGCCTCCTAAATGGTCTACTCCCTCTTGCCTTTGCCTGGCCAGAGTCAAATCTAAACACAGAAGCCAGAGTGGTCTCATGTTAAATGCAAGTGTCAGATTATGCCCTTATAACCATTCAACAGCTTTCCTCTCATAGTGAAGTCAATGTCCTCTCAGCGGCCTCTAAAGTTCTACATAATCAAACAGATGACACCTGACTACATCTTGTATTGTTCTCCCTCTTACTCATTCTGATCCTGCCAAGCCTCCTTTCTGTGACTTGGGCAAATCAGACATTCCTGCCTCTGTGTCTCTGCACTTGCCCTTCTCTCTGCCTAGAATCTTCTTTCCCTAATATCCCTCCCTTTGCTTCCTCATTCAAGTTTTACTAGATGTTACCCTCTCAGTGACCCTTCCCTGGCTGGCCTATTTAAAACTCACATACATTTTCAACAGTTCCTATTTCCTATTTTTTCTACAGTACTTAGTAATGGTT